CTGCGGGGAACTCTGCAAAAAACGCATCTTCGCACGGGCAGCCCGTGCGCTGGCCATTTATTTTTAAGGATGGCAGATCTGATGGGGATATCCGTTTGGCGAATACTGGTGTCACTACGCCGCTAGGACAATTAATCTGTCTACGAACCGTTCATTAGTTTTGATGGTAATTAGTGCATGCCAAAATGTGAGAATTGCCATGAGCTTGCTTTTGAGCAGTCCTGAAAGCACGGTGCTCCTTGCTGCTGACAAGTGCTAGAAGTCAGGATAATTCCGAGTGCCCCGGCCTTTTATAGAGAGTGAATATGAGACAGTTTAGATTAAAATTAATCCAGTAGTGCAAACGGAAATTTTCGACCGATTGAACATTCAGTGTTTTGTAATTTAGTGTTGCAGCCAGCAAAAAAAAAAAAAAATTGCAAAGTTTTTTTGCGCACTGACAGTTTATTACTGGCCATAAACAATCCTAACTGGTACATCCATTAAGGGGAGGAATTCATTCAGATGGCTGGCGTTGTTGTGCCGAACGATGGACATTGTCATCTGGACAAGCATGGCTACTACACGAAGTCTCTGGATCAGGATTACCCATCAATCGCTCTCCTCCATCAAAAAATAAAAGAACGAAAAGCAAATATTATTTTTGCAGTCACCGAGAAAAATAAGGATCTTTACAAGCAGGTATATAATGATTACCGAAATGTCATAATTTTAGTAGTTGGACTACCTGTAATTTGCAGTTTGGATTTTTACTTGTTTAGTTGCTCTCCTGATGGTTAGCCTCCTGATGATTCTCCTGAAGATATTACCAGTTCAGCGATTTTACGCGGCAGAATCACTTAACAGAGATTTCACTGGTTTCGCAATGCATTTGATGTGTAGGGAGCATCGCCATTCGTAAACCACTGTAAGGCGAAAGGCCTTACGAACGAAAAGATAAGAAATTATGCTAATGTTAGAATTCCGATACAGTGGGTGGAATGAATGTAACCATATTGTTTTATGGTTTTTTTTGTCACGTGGTTTTTTGGTAATTATTTGAATTGTCAAATGCGGTTTTGTTTTTTTCAGCTCAGCGATGCGTTACCAGATGTGAGCAGTTCGGTTGGTGTTCTGGCAGACGACTCGAGAAATATTGTCACTCTCATCGAAGAAGAGTACAACAAAATCTCACAAAAAATTATCATGGTCGATAACGCGAATGCCAGTCAGGGATTGCGGCTTTCTTATCGTTCAAAATGCCTCGAGTAAGTTGCAGTGAGTTTGAGTTGAGATATTCTCCAAAAC